AAAAAAAAAAGGAACATCCTAAAAATTCTGCCACCCAGGCAGAGTTAAGAATGTTATAATTTTGCTGTGAATTCTTCCAAACTTTATAATGCATATAAAGAAGTTGATTCTTCATCCCTTCCCCTTTTTCTTTGCTCCCTTTCAGTGTCTTTTTTCATTCATTCTACTGTCTTGTCAACAAACACTGAGCACGTACTATGGGGACAGTGGGATTTAGTGGTGAACATAGACACAGCCTTTGTCCTTGAGCTTAGGATCTAGTGGGAGAAACAAATATTCAATTAAAGTAACAGAGCTGGTTATGGACATATTTTCTGTAAAGGAAATATGTGAGGAAGTTTGAAGGGTTATATAGGAAAACCTGATCTGATCTAATTTGGGTGTTGTATATGCCTTGGTCAGGAGACCACCACCTATTGGAATAAGAATTGAACAGAGCACTATAATTATTCAAACATATATTGAAAAATTGACACATTTAGTTATATGAAAGTAAAAATTTTCATAACCAGATGAGAAATATATTTGCAGTTAATATCACACAGAGGCTGATTTCTCATATAAAGAACTCCCATAAATAGATAACAAAAGATTAAGAATGGAAAATGAGAAAAGGTTATGAATAGACAATTCTTAGAAACACAAGTGACTCTTAGAAGTAAAAAAAAAAAAAAAAAAAAGTGCAACTACTACTTATATAATAGTAAGAGAAATGTAGTTCACAACTATGATAGAATATTTTTCAGCTACCAGATTGTCAGAGATTCAAGAACTCAGTAACACTGTATTGACGAGGTCAGGTGGAACCAGCCACATTAATACACCTGTATGTGTAAATCAATAAGTAACCTTTGTGGAAGGTAGTATGCTAATGTGACAAAAATCACAAATGCACTTTCCCTTTGACCCAAAATGTTTACTTCTAGGAATTTAGCCTATAAATATTTACTACAGCATTATTCGTAGTGATAAAAGATTGGAAACAATTTAAATGTCTGTCACTAGTATACTGGTTAAATAAATTATGATACCTTCATTTAATGGTAGCTTTTTATATACTGATTTGTGTGCAGTAGTCACCAAGGTGTGTGACAGAGTAAGATGCGGAATTGAGTGTATTGTATGCCTCCATTTGTGGGAAAATATTTTTCAA